TCTGCTTGTTTGTATGTACGACCGTTACGCTTTCTGACTGAGAACCTGCTGCATAGGTATACGTAGTTAGAATGTTCCCCAAGAAAACCGCGCATGCGCATTATTCACTCGACGACAAACAGTCTGCCTGCGGCAGAGAGTTGCACAGCTCAGTGATCAAGTCGCTACAATTGCTGTATGAAACAAGAAGTAACAACAAATGGGGAATGTAAATATACTTTGCTAACCATTTTGTAAAACAGAACATTAAAAAACTTGTCATAGTTTTAAAGAAAGGTTTGACGTTAGGTCGTAGAATAATATTATAAGTTTATTTATCGATAGTATTAAGTACAGTAAAGTTTAGTCTTAACTAAACTAAAGTTAAATAAAAAACGTACACAGGTTATCTAACTTAGGCCCAACATAAGTTAAGGATACAAGTGGATTTACACATTTCGTTGTCTACGATTACAATTCGTTTGTATTGTGCTAGAAATGTTATATTTAAAGAAGTACTGTTAAGATAAAGATACTAATTTGGCCGGAAATGTTTTGCGGGTCTCTGCTAGTATACTATTAAACCTCACGAGATTCCCACTGACAATAGCTCGGCAGTAAGTCTAAAGGCTTGTAACACTAAGAGCTAAGTTTCCACGCTTGGTGGGCACAGTACAGATAGCCCGTTTGTAGCTTTGCACTTAATTAAAATATAAAATCGAACTACACGGTTTTAAGGATAAATTAAGAGTAGGCAAAATTTAGATTAAACTACACGTGACATTGTTTTCTTGCGCTTATTTGACCAGTAAAGAGTTGGAGGGTATATATATTTTTATATATCTAGGTTTGATATTCATCAGGGTAGTTTATATTTTTATATATTTAGATAGAATGTTCATCTCATAGACTGTGTACAGGAGAATAGAGCATTAAACTAAGTAAAATAACTTTCGTAATCGCGCTACACCAAATGTATCAGTTTGTATTTAAGTGCATGTTGTAAGTTATATTTTCAATATTTCAGTGCAAGTGTTAGCTAGAGAAACAAGGGTATAGTTATAAATACGAGTAAGCATTTGTTAAACTTAGAGTGTCAGTCATTCAGTGAAATATTTAGCTTTTAGTATGCACTTGTTTAGACGATGGACTGTCGTTTCTATTGAATCGGAACTACCCTCTTTCCAAATGACTTGCTTGAGATAACCTACTAAACTGTTTTCAATTCATTGTTTTTTAACAGCAGATTTACCTAGGGCAACAAACGATAACCAACGTGTCTATTCGTTCTCATTCAAACATAAGGGATGCCCTCAATATCCACCTTATCTACCACTGAAGGACACTGTTGTCTACATTTTTGCACAACGTGTAGCATTAAAGTCATGCCCCTCATTACCAGGATAGGCGTTACCTCCAGAGAATGACAAAAGAACAAAGTCATCTTAACGATATCATTGGACATTTTTGAACACGTGTGACGTTAAAATTGCACATATCGGAATTAAAAATACAATATTAAAATAAAAAGTAGAAAACTTGTAGTATGTTTTTATATATATATATATGTGTGTGTGTGTGTGTGTGTATGTATACCACACTGTCAAGCCCTCCTAGAGTGAGGGCATTCTCGTTTCAAAAGGTGGTACAGAACTTGTAAAAGTTAGTATAAGTTTGGAGATGTATAATGGAAATGATTGTTGGCCAAGAAATTTAGGATTGCGGGCTACTATTCTAAGACTTTTGTCTGATTTTAAAGTTTAGAATTAGCATGATTTTGAATATGTGCTTGTCTTTTGCAGTCGTGATTTTTCCACCTTCAAAGGTGAGAGAAATTCTACATAACAAATGCTGAGACTGACCAGTATATCTAAAGCCCCAGCAATATGTTTCTCTATTTATATGAACAAAGATTTTCTTTTTTTCACTCAATTGTGTTTTCATTCTCTTTTGCTATTTGTGCTTGAAGTTGTTTCTGTTTAATATTTTCTGAATCTACAGTATATTGTGGATACTCATAACTTTTTGTTGGACATCAGTGTATCTGAAAACTACAACTTTACAGAGTACTTTATAGTAGAAAATTTGTCTCTGAACACCTCTTCTAGCAAAGGCTTTGATTATGTCATTATGGATGGCTGTTATGTCTCTTTTGACTTCAATAAAGATGGAAGTTTCTAGCCTTTCTTATACATAGATGTAATAATTTTGTCAGTTTAGAGAACACTCTCTTAACCTCAGCAACAGTTACAGAATGCAGACCATGCAGTCAGAATCTGTAATAAAGTAAATGTGTTTGTAAATACAACCCTCAAATAACTGCCTATTGCTTTTACTGTTGTGTTGATAGATGAATTCATTTCACCAGAGAGCCATTTATGCTACCATAATATATATTTGCCTTGCACTATGCTGGAATTTTCCAGGAAGGCTGCATATCTCTCCAATGCTGATGAAAATCCCTCCAGTTTGACTTTTAATCAAAACCTGAGAGAAATCTTGAAAGTACAGCAAGATTCCTTTAATGAGGTTCAGTCCTTATTTTCATGTCTCCTGTATGGCATATAAAAGGGGATATTACACATTAATTTGATATAATTTCATAGCATGACTTGATTCACTATTATTGCTCCTGTTCTTAAGCTTTCAGCAGCACAAAGAGTTATGTTCATTTGATACTTGCAGGCTTGTATTTCCTCTGCGCGATCATTACATCACAGACAGCTGATATGAATTTATTGCCATTTTAAAGCCCCCTGGCTTGAAGTTTTGAGTTTAAATTTAAGAACTACAGACATATCTTAATACCAATCAAAAAGATAAACAATTATGTTTTCTGGGTGCTGTTGCAAATCTTACTTAAGCATTTTGTTCCATTTATACCAATACACATGATA